TTTTTTTTTTTTAAGGGGCTTTAGAAGTATCTGATTTGAGGGAAGAGCAGAGGCCTTACGGCTCATAGCGTTACCCAGGTAAATGAGTAGGGTAGCTAATATTACTCCTTATTCTACATGAACAAGTAGTGTTCTACTCTTGGAAGTCTTGTGGCACGGTGAGGAGATCACATCCAGTAAGTGAATACGGCAATATGAGAAGTAATGAAAACTCGGCAGCCGTGGGAGGGTTGTTTTTATATTCCATGCTGTGATTTCTCCTTTTACATATATGCATTTTTATTAGAAGTATAACCTTGGGAAATGCTTAGATTGTTGCAAAGCATTGCAAACGCAGTTGCCCGGATCAGTTTTTCTCTTTGTACGTGACACGCTGTGTAGTACCGAACGGGTGCCCTTAGGATTAATGTGTAGTAGTTGATGACAGAAGGAGCTTGTAAAGTTGCTGTAGAAAGCTTTGTGTATGTGTGGGCCAGAATTAGTCTTGTTCCTTTATTAGGAACCACAAATCAGATTGAAGTAGTTAATCTCTATCTGTAAAACACCGCCGGCCGTGATGAACTGATGACGATTCACAGATATGTGCTATATTTTAAGACTAAAGCTTGAAAAATGTTTGTGCTTGGTGCTCCTTCTGTGCACGCACCCCTCCCTTCCCAGCCACCCAGTGATCCTTAAATCTTAAAACTGTACTCTACAACTGATAAAGTGGTCTGGGGAATTAGTAAACCAGTCTTCATGTTTTATTATCCTCTATCGCAAGTAACCCTGTGGGTTTTTTTTGTCTTTCAGTATGTTCAGGCAGATGCTCCTACCAATAAAACACTGGCTGGGCTGGTGGTGCAGCTGCTGCAATTCCAGGAAGATGCCTTTGGAAAACATGTCACCAATCCTGCCTTCACAAAGCTTCCTGTGAGTATTTGGGTTAACCCACTGCTGTTACAACAGCACGTTTTGTTCTTCCTCCAGTATCTGTGCTGCTGGCGTGCTTCCAGGTGATTGGGAGATCGGTTCTTAGTCTGAGGCTTTTGTTGATGCATCCTCTGGAAGGAATGAAATAGCACACTCCTCCTTAAAAGCAGATTTTCAATGTAATACAGCTTATTTTCTATAGATTTGGAAGTGATTTCCTGAATACTGTGGAAAGATTTTAATTTCAACTAAAATTCTATGTAAGCTCATCAATTTTAAGACAAATCTGTTTGGGCTGATGCATCCTAAACTGACAGAATAACATGCACTTCCCAAAGCAAGCAAGTGTCCATTGGGCATTTTGTTGATTAAACTTCAAGGTTATAGTGCTGTCCAAGCTGAAAAGTGGCTTTACCACGTTCTTTAGTAGCACACAGTTGCCTAATTAGTCTGGGATAGTTTTCCAGTCACTCAGGATATTGGTATACAGAAGCAGTATCGACATTTTAAGGGTTGTTTATTTAAAGTTCAGGCTTGGCACGTCTTTAGCAGTAGTACCCTAGCGATTGTGTTGAGAGATCAGTCCCATTGTGCTTGGAACCCTGCCTGCCACCAAAAGAGTCTTGTCCAAGTGAGCGTGAAGCCTAAACAACTGATAAAGGGAAGAGAGATGCAGCAAATGGTAAGGACAAAGTAACGAAGGGATTTCGGTTGGGAAGGGCAAGGACTGCAGCATGGTATCAAGCACCCAGTTGGCTGATGTAGGGTGGGTTTTGTGGGCCAAGACAACTGTCATAAATGTGTATGTAAGCTTTGGAAGGTCTTTGCTTATCTTTGTCATGGAACGCTTACTGGGAACCTAAGGTCATGCAGTCCAGGGTTCTGTTTAGATATACATACTAAGTTGGAAATACTTGTAACGGATTACAATATCACAAACTGAAGTTGTTCTGAAAACTGTTGAAAGTTGGTCCACCACTTACAAAATATTTTATTACTTTATGGCGATTTTTTTCCCCCAGACGTTTTGCTTATGTAACTTCTTTGGTGCGGAGTGTGAGTTCATGCATGTTTTCTTCAGCAGAGGGGTTTTCAGACTTACTGGGTGACTCTCTTGGTGCTTAAGAATGCACACAGAAGCACCACAAGATGCCATTAAGATGTAGCTCACATCTCTTCCATTCCGATCACCTGATACCTCCGAGGTAATGAGAACCTTTAGGTACAGAGGTGAACGTTGCCGTGCTTGGTTTTGATATGGCAGTGTAGGCTGTAAAACTGTACCCGTGTGTTCGACAAGTTGATAAACCGTTTGAGTGCTCTCAAGTCTTAAATCAATTTGTCTAATCTCAAAAATGGGTAATAAAGATTTCAGTGGCATTGTAAATACATTGTTCCTGTGTTTATTCTTCTATTTCAAAGGTCTAATCTGATCAAATTTGCTCAACTTAAGTTTACAGCAGTTGGATATCTCAGCTCTCAATTACTTCCGACGGAAGGCAACTCGTCAGTACATCTTCCTTTATATTGTTTTTATGAGAAAACGCAATATGTACTCTTAAGACGAGGTTAGTGTTCACTTTTTTAGACATGTAATTTAAGATACTGGTTCAGGCTGTGAAGGAGGCTTTGTTATTCTACCATAGCACTCTGAAGACGTGCAGAATGCTTCAGTTCTACAGGACTATGTCTGACTTGGGAAGAGAGGTGAGGCGAAGGGATGTCTTGAGTGACATTGCTAATCTCCAAAAATATATTGAGAAGCTATTGCAGACTTCCACTGAAAGGAAACTGAATGAAGCTAAAAGAGGTTAAAAGTTTAGTAGTTACCTTAGTGATTGTTCAGTGTTACCATGTTCCTGACAAGGGAGGATCTGAAGTTGAAGAGGAAGATGTCCTGCTTGTGTAAAAGAAACAACCCCCAGGCCGTCAAAGCTTTGAGTGCTATGTGCCTGCAGATGACTGCAGAAGTCCTCAATTTGTGACTACTGCGCCCAGCTACCATCACTAGATGCTGCCGTGAATAGTCCATGCCTTGCGTGATGGTGTTCTCCATTCACACGCGCTGCAGTGTTTCCCTTACCGGCGCGGTCTATATGAGATTCAGTGTTGGTCTTGAGAACTGCACTTCTTGCAAAACACGGGGACGTGGCTCACCAGGAGCACTTGATGATGAGAACATGTCAGACCAAGGTGGTTCTTCCAGTTCACATTAGAGCCTTTGTATTTGTTTCCCAAGTACTAGCCAGCGTACCTCACGCTCCTTCCCTGAAGTGTCTGCTCTGCAACACTGGAGCAGTCAGCGACAAAGGGAAGCTGGTCTCTTCCACTGGCATTCGAGGTAAAACCTCTTTGACCTGGACCGCATCTAAATGACTGCAGACTACATCCGTTGAAATAAAGTTGAGACATTTTACTTAGTGCTTGCAGTGGATGAAATAGACTTTGCACTTGAGAGGGGGTTGTTAATTCTGTGTTTGAGCTCCTGTTCTTGGCAAGGATGCTGTACGGTACAGGGTCTGTGAATAGATCTAGAGTAAGTGAAGGACTGTTATAGCGTGACTTCTGTGCAGGTCTTCTCATTATTGCATTGAAATGCATATTGTCTAACCTCACCGATACTCAAAAAAGGAGAAAAAGCTGATTAATTCTCTTGAAAGCAGTTTTGCATGTTTCAAAGGCTATATTAAGATACTAACTCTTAAGATGTCAAGTTGTAAGGCCAGTTGATCTTAATTGCCTTGTTATGATGAATTTTGGGTACAAATGTTGAAGGGAAGTTGATTTATTGACAGCCGCATCTCTTCTGCGGAACGGCTTTCCTCTAATTGTTAAAGGCAATTTCCTTTTATGCTAGTAGCAATGACCACAGTTCAACGAGAGGCTTTTACTAGAGTCTGCTGATGCTTTAAAAAAGTGACTTATGTCTATGAAAAGAGGTTTGGATGCTGTTTTTCACCATTAAGTATTGGTTGAACTTCCTGCATGTGGTAGTAAAATCCCAACTCTCCGGAGTTGCCGCGATGGCTTGTGCTGCTGAGGACTGCTGGATCGCTGAGCCCCGTGCCAGGCTGCACGACTGCCTTCTCGAACTGCCCTGGTAATGCAGAAAGGGGTGGCCTTGTCCTTAGAAGATTTGATGTGGGTTACCGGTGGACAGCTTGATGAAGGCGAAGCTGCAGTAGCAGCCCCTGAACGTGAAGTGTGGACCGTTTGGCACGACAGTGGGATCTACGGTTTCCCGAAATGAGATGAGGTGGGCTTTGCTGCGGTGATTTTGTTCAGTTGCTGCTATGTCTGGCATGTCGGCAAAAAGGGAAAGGTGGAACCTGGATGACCATACGTATGTAGGACAGCTGAAGATAAGTAACAGCAACTTGGGTACTGGTGCTGCAAAAATACTCTTTCCAACAGGTCTTCTGGCTTCACGTTGAGATTTATTTTTCTTTTGGCTAACATGTGCGTGCATGTTTGTAAACCAGCACTTGTGTTCTTGCAGCCAAGTCTTACGGCAGTAAAATCATTTGGTGCGTTAAAACATTTTGGTTTGGTTCAAGCTTCTGATCAGAGGCTGCTTCATCCGTAGAGGACTTCAGTTTGCTAAGAATAGTACTGAAATGCGTGCAGCTCGTAAACGGGCGAGTACCCGTATGGCAGCTTTGAGCTCTCTTTATTGCTTTTTGTGCACAGTAGGGCTCTCAACAGATGGTAGAGCAGGAGCAGTTCTGTTCTTGTTGAATGCTTACGAAGGATCTTTTTTATGTTGTTCTTGGACACTGGTGTATTTGATACCTCGCAGAACTGCTTTGCTTTCCGTTAGCAGCTCTAGAGCCAAGGAAGGCAATGTTTCGTTTAGATCCCGTGCCACCATTGTAGCCGCCTGGCTGGAGAGTGAATTTAAAACGCTTGTCGGCACTGCTGAGGCCGTCTGTAATTTGGTGCTCGTTCTGTGTTGGGAAATACTCCTGAGGTGTGATATAATGGACTTTTAGATCAGAACAGGTCATTTTCTTTAGAAGTAAGATAAAAGCTAGAACAGAAACATTCTTAACCTAGAAAAACCGCGAGGAAGGCTGTTGTCTGTGCGGTGCCTCCAGCTTTGTGCTTTCTCTACTTCCAGCAGCAGGCAGGTTGCAGAACGCCGCTGGTGACCGGAGCCCGGCCGTTAAACAGCTCCCCAAATTCTGTTCTGTGAGTTGTACAAGCTTAGCTGGGTGGTGAATCTGCCTCATTGTGTCATTTCAGTTTATTGTTAGAACAGCTTTCTTCACGTATATCTGAGGTTGTCTGGGGAATGGACCTGTTTGCCCAAATAAGCTTTTTTAAAGTCCTGATCCTATATAGCAGTTGCATATACGTAAGTCACCGAAAGCAGTTTGGCGCTGCAGTCAATAGAAAGAAATATTCCAGGGTAGTCTTACTTGAGTGCATGTTTGTAAATGAATTTTTACATCTTGCAAGAACTCAGAATTTAAGAGAATCACTTTTTTCGTGGTTCAGTCAAATTGATTTATCAGTCATATTGGAAAACAATCTGTAACTGTAAAGAGGCGGCCTGGGGGACAGAAACAGAGTTTTCATTTGTTCTATTCTCAAGTCCCGTGTCGCTTACTTTATCACTGGTTAGTTCATCAGTGCTGTTGCATGTTTGTTGTCTACCTATCCCAGATGCTACGTGGAGAACCTCAGATAGCCTGCGAATTAGGATTGAAATAGATTCTGGTGTTGCCTTTCTCTGGTCCGGGCTTCAGCCAAGCTATCCAGTTGTCTTCCATTTCTAAGATGATTTTGACAGTCGCTTGCTTTTTCCGAGCACATATACAGACATCCCGACCAGAGATAGTAGTAAAACAGCAAAGATAATTCCAAAGTAAAATTTATCAGAAAAACATACCTTTCTGTGTAGGAAACAGTCCTGCTTTTCTAGTAACCTTTTAGAGAAGGGACTTGGTGGGACTCAGTAGAGCTTTTCGGTCTCCTGCTCCTGTCTGAATTTCAGTTCTTGAATTTGGAGTACCTGTTGATGGATGTGTGACTCAGCTGTACTCTGCTAAAAGTGATAGTGGAGAAATGAGTTGGATTTAGTATTTTAGGGCAGATGATAGTGACCTCCTCAAATCTTGACAAACAATTCTTTGTTGTGGAGGAGGGAGGTGAATGGAGAGCTTTGGGAGCCGTAGCGAATATGAAGCCTGGGTTTTAGATGTTCATTTCTAATCATTTGTTTTGGTCTACTTAATACAGATGAAGAGCTTCTTAACTGACAGCTACAATTTTAGGTTTAATTTACTGTGAGGTGGATGTTCAAGGAGTAGTTTGGATTTCTGTTCTACAGCTATGCAAGGAATTTTTTGCAAGCTACTCGCATAAGGAAGGACTTGGGAGCTTTCGGATGTATCGGGTTCTACTTGCAAACATGAAGAATGCTACTTCAACCAAATGCATTTAATCTTGAAACATTCTTAAAAGGTGAACGTGTAAAACTCAAAGTGGTTCACCTGAAAGTTAAACTGCATTTGACTAGTTCAGTGTCTAAAAACTCAGCTAACGAGTATGTATTCCTTTAAAATAATTACACAAAAGTCAATGTCTCTGTGTTTTCACTTTTCTTTTGGGTTCTAGGCAAAATGCTTCATGGATTTCAAAGCTGGAGGTACATTATGTCACATTCTTGGTGCTGCTTACAAATATAAGAATGAACAGGGCTGGTAAGTTTTTATTTTTGATTTGTACACCTTTTGCATGAAGTTCGGCACATGAAATGCCTGTGCAAACTACTTAATGTTTAATACTTTCTGGAGAATCATGTAGGCAAGGGAGTTGGAGATGGGAAGAGGAAGTTTTTTCCTGGTTTTGCTGATGGTAGCTTTTTTTAAGACACCCTCCCCACACTTCTGAATTTAAAGATAAGTTGTCCAAGTTTAAAGTCTTGAGCCTGTAGGTTGGGAGCTAATGACAGGCTTGAGGCTTTTTTTTTTTGCCATTTACTTCTCATAGGACTGAGCAAAATAACTGATTTCTTAGAATCACTGTTTCCCATCTATGAGATGTAAATCTTTGTTACTGTATTGTGTATAGGGTTTAGTTATAATCAGGAAAAGATGAAGCATTGCATAGATCTAATAAATGCTCGGTTTTCCGTTGCTTATCGGCCTCCATAAATGGGGAGTGTAAGTCGGTAGAAACGCTGCCAGTGGGGAGTGTAAGTAGGTAGAAACGCTGCCAATGTAGCTATTGGCACTAGACTGAAAACTATTAATGTGACATGCTGGTAGGGTTTTGACCTGTGTGTTTCTAGGTTATAACCCTCTTTCCAAGGCAGCGATAGCATGAATTACTATACTTGAGAATATTGGAAAAAAATCTGAGGATGAAAAGTCGTTAGAGAAGAGTAAGCAGAGATTGTTCTTGTATGTGAATTTAAATAGTTTTCTGATCTGATGCTGTGCAGACCTGTAACAGCATTCCTGGAATTGACTGTGTTTCCGTTACCTACAAGAGCAAATTAAAAGGCAAAAATAAAGTTGTTTTAGTATGGTTGGTTGTTTTTAGGAGTTCTTTAAGCTCCTATCAGCTAAATGGATATCTGAGGTGAATATATCAGAAAGCTGGTATGAGTAAGCTGCTGTCGGGTGTTTTCCTACTCCAATATTGCCGACACCTAGGACACGGTACGTGTTTGTAGTGGTCTGTGTGGCGTATCTTTCAGGAGTGTCTTGCTACCTCTTTGCCTTAAGATAAAGGAGTTAAATTGCTCCTACTTCATGAATATTTAAATGTTCCATTTTTTTCCAAACAAATTTAGTTTTCAGTCATTGAAATTTGTCAGCAAAACTCAGATACGTGATTGCCTCCTCTCTTCTCACTCTCTTGCTGATTCCTCAAAACTAGTGTGGGTAGTGTCTGTGTTTGTGCATGTGGGATGTAGAGGGAAGTAATACTTGAATTTAACTCTGAGGATCAGACTTAGAGCTTGGAATGTATCCTTCACTGACTCAACCAAATAATTTGTGGTGTTTTGCCTGAAATATGATTTTTTTTTTTAATGGTGTGCATTGTCGCTCTTGCTTAACCTGTTTGTGAATGATCTGTCTTATAGGAGAAGTACCTTTCCTCGTCATAATAGGTATGTCTGAAAAATGCACTTATCCAGTGCAGCTGGACATACCCTGTCTATCACTGCAATTCAAGTAGTTGTTTGCTAAAATCTGTCAGAGGGTATCAGTTAACCTAAGGACAGAAGAATTAGTACTACTGTTGTATCTAAATGGGCAACCAAAAAAAGTGCTGGTTTTTAACATCTTGATGTGCTTCTCTTAAAGTATGGCTTTCAAAAGCAGGCAGGAATTTGGGGACATACATAGCATTAAATTAATATGTAATGCAGATTTTGGGCAACCAAATGTAAAAATTTTGGTCAAACTTCAATGCCTTAAGTGTCTTTGTTTCATAGGTACTAAAGACTTTATTAGGTGTCTAGCTTAGTTTCTCTTTATTTGGCATTTATCTGCCTTCACTTCCTTGAAGCTATTACGATGGAGAAGCGTGTATTTTGAATACAGGCTATGAAGCTGTCAGTGTCTAAATACTGGAGAAGTGACTTGATCTTGGCTCTTAAAGTCCGATGTATTATAGGTGTAAAATACTTTATTAACTTGTGTTGTGCAGTGAACTAGCAGACTTCTTGATGACTGGCCCTACTTCGAGAAGTCGATGTAAACTTTTCAACGTGCACAACGCTATTTAAAGAGGCCATAAATTTCTTTTAAAATTGAAAGACGGTTCTAATAAATATGCCAGGATATTATCTTTAACTTGTTTGCCATGTTCTTAGTGTGAAGGAAGGGGTCTGTAGTACTGCTTTAGGTTAGAAGCCATCATTCACTAATAGTGAGTATTTCTAGTGCTGCCCAACACTGCCACGTATTTACGTGGTACCACCTGCGTGGGCCGCTTCTTTCCGAAAATGCTGAAGACCCTCAAGTGAAGGAAAATATGGTGGTCTGAGCTGAAGTGTCTTTGTTTAATTTGGTAGTGTAATATTGATGTCATGCCATGGTTGTGCGGTAATGGGGTTTGTGACTAAAAAAAAATCGATCTTGCTTTGGTTTACCCTCATTGTATATTTATAAAGTTTAAAAATTGATTTGATGTGTTACTGGAAACAAGCATATGTTTAAAAGAAACTGTCGTTAGTTATGGGCACAGGAATAAATTCTTGTCTTTTAAGTTGGGATGTTAACTTAAAAGTGTATCAGTCACTGCATGGTAATTATGTGCACGACTTTTTCACTGTGTTAAATGTACAGGGTATTTTTTATTTTATACCCCGAAATCTCTTCTGCTGGTATCGCCGCTCCTGAACACAAACTCAGCACTCCAGTTACGTCAGACTCTAGCAACAGCTTTTTCCAAAATTTGCGCGCTACGGAAGTGCACCGGACAGTGTCTTACATCTAAGAGTCAACAACCTGATTATCTAAACATATCATTGTGCTTTGGCAAAGGCTGAGTTGTTAAGGGTCAGGCCCAGCTGTGTTTCCGAGGCTCCTGCGACAATGTAGGACAGTGCCAGGGCAGACCCCGGCGGGTGCTGAACTTGGCGAGGGGCTGGCGTTACTGCTGATACCATCCCACCTCTCCGGTTCTCCGGGGTTGCCGTTCCAATTCTCCTTTTGAGTTGATTCATCCCTGACTTCTGAATATGTGTACGGTTCGGGTGGATACGGCAGAATGCCTTTGGGGGGCTCTTGTGGTTCTTCCCAGTAGAAAGTCTCAGATTTTGTTTTATCCCCCCATTTCTGATAGACGCTTAAATATGCATTGTTATTTCAAGAATTTTGGTTGCTTTGTCAATGAAGTAGGAAACTTTTCAAGTACCAGAGTCCAATAAAGACGATCGTAAAATGCCTACACGGATTATTAGCTACCTGTATGCTGCATGGGGGGTGGCTTGTTCTCAAATAGGTAAGTAGCTTAGAAAACATCAGGCAGACAAATTGCTGTGTTTTTCCTGGATTAGAATCTGGGACTGGTGGCTGGGTGCAACTAGAAGTGAGAGAAATGTGAGAGCTTGTTCATGAATTTTCTCATCTAGTTGTTGAAATCCATCATGAGCTTTTGATTATGTTTCTGTTTAATTATCCTTTGTGACTGTCGTGGAACGCGCAACCCTGCTACAGGGTTTTGTTGGACAATGTCAGCCTTCATTTTTCCTAAAGATTTCGCAAATCGGTTGCATTTTGTTGATTTGATTCATTGTGATTTTTCTTGCTTGTGTGGGCTGCCAAGTGAAGCAAAAATATTTGTGGTTGTGCTTTAGTTGTTCTTACGTAGTTACCATGATACACTGGTGTTTTATGTGGAACGTGAAAGATTCTTGACTACTGAATGAAGGAGAGTTGAATTTAATATTTGTGAATAATTTTTCTTAACAGGCGGAGGTTTGACCTGCAGAATCCATCCCGAATGGATCGAAATGTGGAGATGTTCATGAACATTGAGAAAACACTAGTGCAGGCAAGGAACTCGTATACAAAACTGTATGTGTTCACATGCTCAGGGAAGGGATTCCCTAGCTTTTTCTGTACCTCAGTTTGTGACCCGCTGAAGAGTTTCATCCTGGACTTCTGTAGGAATATTACAGTCTTCTCTCCCTCTCCCACCCATTTTAGTCACAATTCGATGTTATCACTTGAAAACTTCAGAATGTTTTCATTGATATTCTGCGGATATGCATAGGGTGAAAAAAACCTGTTTGTAAGGTAGGAGGAAGCATCCTGAGTGTCTCCGTCCTCCTGGGAAAGTGGCACCCTTAGGACTGAGTAACTAGTTCTGTACACTCTATCGCTGACTTTCTTGAGACTTTCAGCTTGATAAAAGTTTGACTTTTTTTCAGATTTGAGTACATTTTAGACTGTCTTGCTTGCTTATTACCAGACGATAGCAGGTAACAGCTGTGTGGAGTCTAATTAGAAGTTAAATTCTTTGTAACTGCTGTGTATGAGTGACAGAGTTTTGGTTTTTTTCAAACTCTAAAACCAAGCTCAGTGTATAATGTAGTGAAGATGTAACTTTCAGGTGCTTGTTAAAAATGGAAATAGGAGGAAGGACAGCAAAAAGAGACAATACTTTTATAATAAAAAACCATTGTATGGTGATTTCAGTACGTAATAGAGTACATAGTAAAATTAAATTAATCTGTACCTGTCAGTATTGTAGAAATCCCTGAATCTGCATGTCAGTGCATCAGGACAGATTCAGATTTGGAAGTTGACACACAGGAGACTTAAATTCCCTTTCAAGTGAAGTCTTCCAGAGCCTGTCAAACATTCTTTGAAATCAAACACGTGGTTTCCATTAAAGATGTTGTTGTGGAGTCAGGAATGTGAGAACAGCAACGTTGGGTCACGTTCTCTTTATCCGTGATAATGTCTCTGGCAGAGCTAACGACAGATCTGCGGAGACTAGAAAGAAACCCAGGATGAGACTTTGTCGGGGAGGTGTTCAGAGGAAACGCTGCTGTCATGGGGGTTTCTGGAGCTAGAGTTAGTGTGCCGTATCGCAAGCTGATACGTGTTCCTTTTGGGCTTTTTCAAGCATTGGTGATCTTAATAGGAATTTTTTGATTTATGTCACAGGTGACCTTCTAATTTCTTTAATTTAACTTCCTATTCTCTCCACTAGAACAATTGTCTGAGCAGACCGACCATCTACCTCATTCCAGATATAGAACTGAAGTTGGCTAATAAATTGAAGGATATTGTCAAACGTCACCAGGTAACTGTTAAATAGCATATCTTTAAAAAAAACAAATTGTTTTGTCGGTTATAAGATAAAATGTATTTGCATGACTTCAATGTATCGGTTACATCTGGATTGTGTCTGACAGCGCAAGGCAGCAGCAGCAAGTTACTCAAGACCAGAAGTTCACCATTTGTAAAATGCCATTAGTAGTTATCGTCACGTGGAGATCGAATCATAACTCTGTTCTAAAAGTAAATCTGAAATTGCTATTGAAGTGAAAAGTAGTTACGGTGTCTCAGTGAGTTGGCTGCAGGCCTTAGCTGATTTAATGTTGAATACGTGCTTATATAAAGCAGGAGCTCACTGTTTGTCCAAATCCAAGACCAAAGAAGGTAGTATGTAGTACAGCAGTTCTAGATATGTGGGCATGACATAATGAAGCTTTAATCTTAAGATTATTTTTGTGCTTTATCTTACTTTTTTCTTGCTTGTGCTGAACGGAACACAGGCAACAACAGTCTCTTGCTTGTTAGGAGTAGTCAGCGTATTTATGACGGTCAACATCTTGCTGTTGTAATTTAATATACTAAATGATGAACTGAACATGATTAATAGCTTCATCTCTTAAAAATGTAAACAGTCTTTTCACTTGTCTTGAGAGAAATATCCTGGAATGTGAACTCTAGATGGTCTGATAGCCTTTTGTGTTATGATAATTCACGGCTGTAGCCAAAGTAAACTGTTTCTTTTCCATATTAGATGTATTTCCTGTGTTGTGATTATGAACCATCGTCTCGACTTCAGTTGTGTAATTTTTCACAAGTTACTCTTTAATTATTCAGCTGGTTCAGGAGCTTTCTTTTGCTTAAATTGGTGTTAATGACTCAGTTTTCCTTTCATAAAGGAATTCTTACTGAACTCAAAGGATGCTGTATCCATGAATGATTTAAGGGACTTTAAAGCAGGCAGCTTTGTCTCTAAAGGAATGTGAAGAACTGAAAACAGAAACTGTCCCTAATTCTGCTTTTTGGGCTTCATGCCTTTGCCCTAGCTCTGAATTCTCATCTTGTATTTGTGTCGCTACTTGTGCTTTCTCACTGTCTTGATGATTATTTTGTTTTTGACCCGTTGCTGTCGTCTTTCCTCTACCCCATCCTTAGTACCTGTAGCTCCCTCCTCTCTGGTATTTCCAAGTCCTCGCTGCTCTGACTGCGGCGTGTGCACAAGAGTTGCATCTCTCTTGTCCCAGCACGGTGCTGGGGTGATCTCTGGGCTTATCGAAAGGGGTGTCCGTAAGATGTTTGTTCCCTCTGCTGATGAAGATGCCGTTACTGTTTCTGGTAGTCACACTTTTTTTGATTTTCTTTATAAATGTTGAGGATTCTTCTGAGAAGAGCCAGAATAATTTAGGAACTTGAAAGCAGGTAACGAGTGAGATCTAGCATTTATATCTATCTGCTTCAAGAAGAGTGTTTTGTTGGTAGAGAACTCTTCCGTCTTGTTATGTCTTTGGCTTCCAGTCACATTCAGGTTAGCGGAGGCAGGGAATAAGCCTTACAACCTGTTTACATCTTCCAGAAAGCTGTTTTAATGTAAAGTTATCCATCCCTTTGTTTTCAGTCAAGATGGCGTCTAGGAGAGACTTCCTGTTCATCTATTGTGTATTGAGTTTTGTAAAGCTCCGTAGGAAATAGATTAAACTTACTGATCTGATTCACAAAGCTCAGATTAGATTTCTGAAGAGCATCTTTAGCTCATGGGGAATGAAGGGAGAATTTCCATTATTGTTCCTTAAAAGCTTTGCAGGATGTTAATTCACGCCGGGGCTCTTTCCTTTGCCTTTGAATGTTTTTAAAGTCTTCTTACTTTCCAGCTTGCTTTTTTGCTGTTGCTCAGAGCACATCCTCACCATTTACGCAGTTCTGTGAGCTCTTGTTGGTGTAGGAACTCTTGCCTTTCAGCCCCTGATACCAGAGTAGTCTCCAAACATTGCTACCGTAATGCGCTGCATCTTTGTGGTTTTTTAATTTTTCTCCTTTTGATGCTGCCTTCTAAATAAATTGTACACACATTGTTGGCTGTAGCCTCTCCCATGTGCTCTTAAGTCCTTTAAATAAATCCATCAAGTATTTATGGAATGTAAATTTTGAATAACATTTTCATACAAACTGTTCCAAACTATAACTTGTCTGCAGACTGTGAATTTCTGCTGTCCTTGGAAATAACTCTTCATATAGGGAGACCGGAGGTGTCTCTGCAGCATGTGGGAGAATCCTTATGGTTCTCCACGTGTGGGAAGGACAGAGATTTCTTGACTGGCCGCACCAAGCAGTGTTATGTATTTATTTAACAGATATCTTATCATGTAGTAGAATTTTTTTGCATGATGATGTAAGTCCGGTAGGAATATGATTATGGCCTCTACCCATATGTAGAGAAGTTGCTTTATGTACCGCTGTTTGTGGCACCTACGTAAGCATAAGAGGTACAGCTGTTGGTTCTAGTATGTCAAGAAAATGATGTCCTAAACCAGCAAGGAGAAAAAGTATTCTTGTATCGGAATATTCGACAAACAATGGTATCATGTTAGTGTATTTCTGATTATTCCCTTTGTACTATGACTTAGGAGGGTTTTTTGAAAGAATGGGTGTTTATTCTGTCTCCTGACATAACAGCCTTTCTTGAATACAAAGGATGTTGTATTCAAGGCAGCCATTTCTAGTTAAGTTTTGCGCAGAGTTTGTCTTTTGTAAATTGTCATATTTAGAAGTTGTTTTGTACCAAAATGTGTACTTAGTGGAAAAAAGTTACAGATGCTTTCTTACAAAATATTCACCAGTTGGTTTGCATGAACTGATAGTTGAACAATTGACAATGTAAATTGGGGCAGAAGGAAATAAGAGGAGAAAGGATTTGAGATGAAAAGAGCAAGAGATAACAAAGCAGTTTGGTAGCAGTCTTAAAATAATTGCCTTTTTCTGGCACTCCTTAGAGGTGGTATTCTTCCTAGTTGCATTGAAGTTAGCCTTGAATATTTCTAGGTTGCATGGGATGTGGGTAAAAAGAAGCAGCCGAGAAGTTTGGGGTAATGTGTTGAAGCATTTCTTTTCTTCCACCTTTCCCACAGGGAACAGTAACTGAAGAGAAATCAAAGGCTACCCATCATGTTTATCCAAGTCCTACCTCAATGGATGACGGTAAAGTTACTTCCCAGTTTTCGGTTGGAAATAGTCTGGTAACTAAATTCCGTTAGCAGTTACGGGAGCTTTTGCACAGGCACAGTATGTTCCTAGCCTGACCCTGAGAGCCACTTGAAAAGCATTTCTAGGATTAACAGCTCCAAATAAAATCACTGTGTGTCCTGCTTCTAACTCTTGGCTATAACATTCACATTTTTAATTGGTGCAACCTTTTCAGATTAGGGTGTGTAACAGGCTACTCTTCAGTGATTGCTTTGGAAATCGAGATATTGTTTATTGCTGAATGCAGATAGACATTTTGTTTGTCCCAAAGGACTTTCAGACGGAAGGGGAACAAAGGGATATTGTTTATTGCTGAATGCAGATAGACGTTTTGTTTGTCCCAAAGAACTTTCAGACGGAAGGGGAACAAAGCTAAGGGTCTGAAAGAACTTAAAAAAGAAATTAACTTAGGTTAAAAATTAAAAGGAAGGACAATGAAAGTAGGAAGCTTAAAACTAAAGTTTCCGTTAATTTTTTTTCCTTTGTTGCTTCTGTGGTGTCCCCCAATGTGTGTAAGTATAGGTCAGAATGTCAAGTGAAACATTATTGGGAATCAACTAGTGTGTGAAAGGCAGTTAGATGCTAAAGTAAATGAGAATTGAAAAACTGTCTGCCATGCTCTCATCTTTCCAGGGGATGGGTTGGGCATGCTGGTACGTATCATTGCTTGTGGTTTGGCAAGGTGAATACGATAACAAGTAGACCGGAGAAACGGAGACTAACGCAGTCTGCCTCTATATGAAGCACATAGGTTCCATAAAAGCAATTCAACACCTGTATCGTTCAGCAAATAACAAAAATTTGCTCTTAATTTTTTTAATCTTAAGTTCGTTTAATTGTCTAGTGGATCATTGTTGCCCGGTCTGAGCTTCAGTGACCTAAATGTGTTTTTTCTGATGCTCCCGGGCATCTGCTGGCCACTAGATGGAAGTGTTCACTTCTGTGTAGGAACGGTCGTGGGTTTGGTGTCCTGGTGCTTGCCTGTGCTCTGTACTGCTGGTAATATCGACCCTAGCCACAGGTCGGTATTTATTTTTAGCCACTTCAGGTTCTCGGAAAAGGGTTGAACGTGGTAGGTCCCATCTGCCTTGTAGCCGGTGAACATGCGGATGTGTTAGAGCTCTCGTAACCCCTGATGACACAACGATGAGAAAACAGCCGTCAGTTCAAACAGTGGAACTCTATACAGGTTGACATTCTCAGGATTTCTCTTTTAATGGTGCTCAGGTCTATATTCTCAATATTTGGGATGCAGGGGGTAGATTATTGCATTGTCAGATGTGCAGTTTAAAAAAATAAAACCTTTAAAAGACCAGTCAGACTGAGTGTATGCCTTATTGCAAAGTCAGCAAGGTATTAGCGTTGCTTAGTAAGTCAAAGACCTTAATAGCACTGTGGTGAAAGAAGAAAGTTGAAATCCAAATTTTGTTAGATTCTTGGAAGTTTTTTTGTTAAAATCTGTTTCCCCACCACCCCCTGCCCCGACATTCTTCCTTCAGAACTCTATTGGGTTTTTTAAATACCTGTTGAAAGTAGAATTTAGTACTGGGAAGAGGATCTTTTGAAACAAATATAAATCAATAGAACAAGTTACTAAGAGGATTCAGATGTCTAACAAAGATACAAAAAGACAGAGGGGAAATATTTACCACTTGACAAGAAAGCATTTTGGGAGAAATTTAGTCTTTTTGTTTATACAGAGATTAAAAAAAAAAAAAAAATCACAGACTGGAGCGTGTGTGTCTGTCTCCATGTTATTTCTGCTGTCTTTACTGAATGTCCTCTTGGGGGATTTGCTGTGTCCTGTTCTGAGTGCCAGGCCCAACCGGCCAAGGAGTCTGGGAGATGAGACAGGACGAGATGAGCTGGCAGAGGGCAGCCCTGCCACCTGTCAACCAGAAATGCCTCTTGCTTCTCTTGAGAAACGGATGACTGTTATAAGCCTCTTTAGAGCTTAATCTGGAGTGTGCTAGGGTATGAATGTCTATGGCCAAGAAAGGAAATGTAATAATTCTTAGCATTAAAATGACTTTACTAATGTAACATGTGTGTCATATACTGGCAGAGCACATGCGTGGTTAGACATGGCAAAGGTAATGCGGGTAAGTGCGTTGCTGTGGCAGGGCAGGCCCTTGTAATTGTACTACAGTAGACTTTTATCGGAGATGATTGCGATAACTTTACTATGACTGACTGTGGAAAAGCAGAATAGTGTTTAATGTGCTGTACAATCTGAATCTGATGCTAGATCTCTTTCTTCTTTGCAGATGAATGGTTGAGACCTGTGATGAAAAAAGACAAGCAGGTGCTGGTACACTGGGGCTTTTTTCCAGACAGGTAAAGAAAGGTGGGGGAAGAAAGCAGACCCCAAATCTTACTTAAGTTTGTTTAAGGAATAAAAACTTGCAAGTAGGAAAATCCATATCCTCAAAACGAGCTGCTCCTCTGGCTTATTAACACTTACCTCTCCTGATAGCAGTGCTCTGTGGTTATCAGTAGTGAACCTGTATGGGCAATGTCGCAGCTGTGTGGGCTACAAATATGCTCTCTTCTTGTACTGCAGCATATTACAGGCTCAGACCTATCTGATGCTGGCTCGTCTACAGATTTAACCCAAATATACAGTACTCCATTCCTGTCATTTTGATTCTGAATCATTGTACGTCGCTGTTCATATTATGAGAGAAGCAGTGGTTGTCTTATGGAGTATAACCATGCAGTAATTTAGTATTGCTACCATTTATCTCAATGTCCAGAGCTTGAAAAGACTTAATCAGTGGTTTAAGACTGAAATATGCTTACTCATTTGTGGTACTGGCAGGTGGGTGAGGTGAGAAAAGGGGAGTCTTTTTCTGCAGAGCCACTAGTAAGGTTACAAATTGAACCAGACTTTCAAAGGGCAGAGTGAGCCTTTCCATAAAGTTAGTAAGACTTCAAAGGCAAATGGGAGAACTTCTGATGATCTAGTTGAACTTTCTTTGGCAAAGAGAAGTTTCACTCCATGGGTTGCCTTTAGTCAAGTGCCAAGTGACTGTCGAAAGCATATGTTCGAGAAGGCCGTCTTGCGGTGTTAGAAGATGTTAAAAGATACGTGTATGTACTGTTTAGTAACTTAGGTGTAGTTGTAATAACTGGTTTCTGAGTCCAGGTTATGGAAAACTCAAAAGATTGATAACCCAGCATTGATTTGTATTTAAATAACTTTTTTGTGGTACTAAAATCTGCTCTGCTGTGCATGCACAGAATTTTCAGGAGCCATATGCATATTTCAGTGGAAGAGAGCAGACAACAGTCACACTTAAGTTTCTTTGTACAGATGAAGAACCTTTAAATGTTTCTCTATTTATATCATATCAGTAGTCAAGTTTATATTGACTCTCTGTGCGTCTACATGCATTTATAAATACCAGTATAAACATGAGGAATGCTGCATACACTTGTCGTCTTCCATATGACTTATTCCAGTTGCTCAGTACATGCCTGGTGTTTTGGCTCTACAAATAAAAAGTATTTTGACTTTTGCTGATACTGAATGCAGTTTCTTGGTATTTATAAATAGGCTTTTGAGGGAATAGCATGTGGAAAAATGAATGTAAATAATAAATGGATTCTACAGCAGTAGAGATTGAAGGAGAGGATTTGTACTCCTTTCTTTGAGGAATCCAGTATCTATTGCTTTAAACTCATAAGAACAGAGTCAAGTTAATTACCAATTCAAACCCTGGCATTAAGTTGACTCAGAAACTGCATTTATACCCCTGAATCTAGAGAGGGGATTTGCCATTTTAAACTGGAGCTGGCTTCACTGAGATGGCTTTTAAATTCAGGGAGTTAAAAATGTGCATTAGGTGCCTTAGACCCTTTCCTTTTCAGTGTGTCCTTTTCCTGTAGCAGAAACCAGTGATTATTCCTCTAACTTTTCATTGTGTGGAAAATACTTTACTGTTCTATCACAGCAATATGATTTGCACATGTCAGAATTGCTTTCCTGCTGGTGATCTTTCTGGATGAACGGCCCTGGGGACCAATTTTGTCTTCTCTTGACTCCTCTCATTAGCTATGACACTTGGGTTCATGCCAATGAAATAGATGCTGAAATTGAGGATCCTCCAATTCCTGAAAAGCCATGGAAGGTAAGTCTCTCTTAAACAGTTTCCCAAAGTTGCTATATTGGTATAGCTCATGCTTAGGTGCTACTGGGTAGATGTTTTGACACGCTGCTGAGTAACAATGACTGTATTTCCATATATATGGAAAAGCAGAGTGATATTTCTAGAGCCGTAATGAGAATGTCTAAAACGTTTTTTGGTCTGGGGAGGAATGCTCTTGAAAAAATATTTTGTGAGTGAAAAGGACAGACTTATGCATCCCTGATAGTGCCCAAATTACCATGTTTGTTATGGCCTGACTTGAGGTGTTTTCTGTTAAAGGTAAGTCCTTCCCTTACTGCTGAAGTGAGCCAGCTCTGGGATGAAACCTGACAGCTCATTAGAAGAACTCATTATACACTGTTTAAGGAGAGAAAGAGGGGAAAGCACTGTATCTTCATGATGTTTTTGGAAGCATATTGTTAGAGAAAAGAACTTTTAGGTTAGAAACCTGAGATTACCACACATGTATTACAGGGCTTAAAACATCTTTTGTGTGCAGAAAGTTCCTCTTTTTCCATAATATAGAAATGGCCAAAAATATTAGGAGTTAGATAATACGGAAATTAAGAAACTTCTTTAGGAGAACAAGTCTCAGTTTTTGAAGTCAGTGGTACAATTGAAATGTTGTCTGTTCTCTTTGAGTTATTGTAATGACAACATTATTTTGAGCAGATTCAGCTATTGGGTTAAAAACAGAGCTGTGGTCTGGCTGACAGATTGTGTGTGGCCGTGGGCTCCCCCGTCCCTTGGTTTCACACTGCTGCAGAAACTCGGTAGGGAGTTTGTCATAGCTCGGTACTACTGTACGTACCAGCTTCTCTGTGCTCTTAGTACAGGGCACAGTTCAAGTTTCTTGATTTTACTAACTTTTCCCAAAGCCTTGGCGTTGCTAATGAATTGTAGCATATGAATGCAACCGTCCCTAGAGCCAACATGGAAGCAAATGAGAAAAGCAGTAGCTGTTTAAAGAATCCCTGAGGCTCGTATCTCACCTTTCGTTATGGAAAAGTTCAATTTAATGAGAACTCTGCTCTCAGCTGATCTCGCAATGATGCAAAAAGTCAGTGTTTATCGATGTGTTGAACATGCGAGCAGTCAAAACAACATCAGCAGCCTTATTTAGGTTCTCTACATAATGAGTTTTCTTTGTAGAGGAATGATTTACCTTTCTAATTTAGTTCATTGCAAGAATATAGAGCAGTTATAATCAACCAGTAGTAACTACTACTTTATGGTTCTATTATGGACTTACTCTTTTGTATATAACATGCGACGTTGTTCTGTGTGTATGCTGTTGATTTGAACAGCAGCGTTAAAGAGCAAATCAGGTCAGAAAGTAACTTGAATGTCTGTTCAAACACTATTTACTCCATGTAGTTACCTGTGAATAACCAGAACGCATGCTTTTTGGGTATAAATGTCACTATAAATAGTAAGATATAATAGATTGTATAAATCATAGATTCTATGATTCTAAAGCTCAAGAATTTATTTTCAGCTGTGTAAACTAGAACTTTATTTGAAGATGGATGTTTTAAATCAAGATAGTCAATCTTTTCTTTCCAAGATATGGCCAACTCTATTTTTTTGGTCTTCTGTGGCACATCTGCTAAGGTGATCTGTATATTTAGAAGATTTTGCTGCTTATTTTCAGCATCCAACGTACGCTCTTAATACAGAGCCGTTGTCCCAGCTGTGAGAACTGACCTCACACTTCAGAAGGCTTAAAAACAATTGAGGAATAGACATGACATTCAGTAGACACATGACCGTGTTCATCCTTTATTGTATTGCCTCATGAAACTGTCATCTATTATGTGTACAACCATTACAAGATATTTGGATGTTCAGACCCTGATAACAAAGCTGCAAGTATTTCCTTAATCCTGTGAGGTCTGTCAGGGAGTTATCTTTTCGAAGGGCATCGGCGTGTCGGTATGTTGTTCTGTTCTTTAGGTTCATGCCAAGTGGATTTTGGACACGGATATATTCAATGAATGGATGAATGAAGAGGATTATGAGGTAGATGAGAACAGGAAATCAGTGAGTTTTCGACAGAGAATCTCCATGAAAAATGAAGAGGTAGGTGGTTCTCTGCTTACTGAGTGACCTGTTGATACATTAACATTCTTTATCTCTGCTTAAGTCAGATTTTTGGGACTCAAAGTTGCTGCAGTTAAACTGGTTGTACAGTTTGAGGTGCCTATGATAGCGCAGTCTAGTTTAACTTTCTTCTGACATACTTCCTTTAGCCAGAAGTGTAAGTGTGTGCTTTGACTTTTAGGTTGGTTTTTTTTTCCCCCCTCTTCCTGAGGGTGGTAAGAGACAGGACTCACTCTGTGCTTTCTCATAAATGAAACCAGGGGTGTGTTAAACAGCATCAGTTAATATTTGATTTCCAAATTTTCCATATTTGTTGAAACTAATTTTTGTATCCCTCCCAATGCAGGAAGTTAGTTAGGACTCTGAAAACACATCCATTCAACCTTGAGACCAGGCTGCTCACTGGGAGATCTCTCCTGTTGGATAGACTATATTGAACAAGTCACACACTAGGATTTGAATATTGCTTTGTTTTAAGAGCACAGGTCTTAAGTACATAGCCATTGCAGAGTCTGGGGGATGGCTGTAGAAAATTTAGGGCTTTTCATGTTGACAAATGGAAATATTCTGGAGCCGAATGTGGTGCATGTTGTGATATTAATGCTTTTAGCTTCTCTGTTGTAGGATGTATTAAGGAAGAGTGTAGCCTACAGCGTTTCAATAACTGTAGTATTTGGGATGTGCTAACTATTTCACTTCTCTAACAGCCTGTACGTAGTCCAGAGAGGAGAGACAGGAAAGCAGCAGCAAGTACAAGGAAGAGAAAGCATTCTCCTTCTCCACCCCCTACTCCTGTGGAGTCAAGAAAAAAGACAGGGAAGAAAGGGTGAGTGTCTAAGTCCTGGAATTAGAGGCAGATTTTCTTAAAGAAATGCTTATGGGGAGATCTCTGTCACCTTTCACTTGTCTTGCCTTAGATTACAGTAGAATAATTATTTCTACAACAGACTTCAGTGATTTTGCTTGTGCAGTATATGTAATTTCTTTACTCCTCTGTAGAAATGTAGTACCTGCAGATGGAGGAGAATCTAGTGCAAGTTGTCATGTTAGGTATGTCGGTGACAGGATTTATTGCTGCATCAAGAGTAGAACTTACCAAATAAAGTTACTCAGCTGCTTCTAAAATAACTCAGACTAGTTCTATTACTGCAATCGTGTAGTACCTGTACACTTCTTGAAGTGTAGCCCCATAAACTACTGCATTTAATTGAGGACTTTTTTTATCTACTTAGCCAGGTATTTTGAAGTCCACTTCTCAAATGCAACTTTAACAGAGTAGCATTTGTGGCCTACAGATTAGGGTTTTTTCCAATGCTAGTTTGACTCTAAAAAAAAAAAAAAAAAGGTCCAATATTATATCCAAATAAAAGCTTATTTATGGTGATTTATGTGTGGATGTGGAGGGGAGCAGCTTTAAACTAAAAATTCAGGTCTTGATTAATAGACCTGTTGGGGTCTATAAGACTAAGCTGGAAATTTATCATCTGAGGTGAGAAAGAATTAGTGGATAATGTGAATTACTTTTTTTGTTTCTAATATAAAGCCTGAGTTAGATCCTATAAGCAGAGATGTGGGTGATTCTGCCTTTGTTCTCAAAATGGCTTCCTTGGCACACAGAATCGATTGTACAAGCCAGACTTTTTCCTTAAAGAAGGCAACGTGCCTTGAAGTGGTCTGTTGCCGCTTTTGTTCTGTGCAGCAGATGCCCTTATTGCAACTTGAAAAAGGCCAAGTGTAAATGAATCACTACTCCCTTGCATCTCGCTAGTATACCAAGTGCTGCCAACACGCTGGAGACAGGTTTGGGTTGGAATCAGGATTTATATACATTGGTGACCTCCAGTCTTGAAACAGAGGAAAAGACTTTTTTTTTTTATGAAACTTGCTTTGTTTTGGTAATATGCAGAGAATATTTTTCATTAGCTCCATGAGCACCACTTCCTACAGCGTTCATGTTTTCTTAAGTGTTTTAACCCAGTCCTTTAATCCTGATATCTGAAGAATAACGTCAAGATGAGAACATCTGACAGTTGCAGCTGGCAGAGAATTTGTGTATGATCTGTTTTAGACAAGCAGCCTTATATGGGAAAAGGAGAGGGCAGAAAGAAGAAGATGAGCAAGAAGATCTTACAAAGGACATGGAGGATCCCACACCAGTACCTAATATAGAAGAAGTGGTACTTCCCAAAAATGGTAAAATATGCATACACTGGATTCTTTGAATGTTAAAGCATTTGCTTAAACTGCACTGAAAAATACACATGTATTTTGTCAAATCTTTGAAATGCTTTGTGGCCATGGGGCCAGGTGATCTGTGCCCATCTAAATGTATCTAGTCGGGGATATGAATGTGACAGCTGGGAAGGGCAACAGATTCACCTTTTGGCTTTTTGAAATACATTTACAAAAAGCCACTTAAATGTTTCACCTGTTTTAGGATTGCTTTCACCCATTATACAGAGTTCATGTTTTGGGGGATGGAGTTTTCTAGAGGAAAATAATTGTATGCCAAATACCTGAGATAAGCACATTAAATGAGTGGAAACTCTAGCAACCTGCCAAACGCGTTCAGTTCTTAATCCTTTTCTGAAAAGTGTTGATCTGTGCAATACCTGTTAAGTAAAGATAAGTCAGAAAAATAATTCCTTCTGTCAAATCCTTGACACCGAACTATTTTGGGTGTCACACCATTTGGTTTTTACCTGGTTTGAACTTGCATATAAGAATTGTTTCGTGTTGTACAGGTGGAAAAAGTACAGTCCTTAGTCCCCTAACTGCATGAATAGAAGCTGCTTTGTGTTCAGATGTGAAATTACAGAGAAGTCAAACAAATGGTCTGTTGTACTCAAACTGCACAGATGAACTCTTTTGAACTGTAAGGACATGACCAACAAAACTGTTTATTGATAAGATGGTTAAAGCATGCTAGACTTCGGTAATTTTACCTTGTCTGATGATTACTCATCAGAGTTTCAATCTTGCTTACTTTTGTAGTGAACCCAAAGAAAGACAGTGAAAACACGCCTGTGAAAGGAGGAACAGTAGCAGACCTCGGTAAAACAAACACATAACACCCTCCAGCACCCCTTCCCCTGAGTTATATAGTAAAGTCTTGCTTGCAGGCCAACAGAGTAAATATTTTTAAGTTTCTCAGTTTTAAAAGGAATCTCTAATTCTGCTGTTTTATTGAATTAATTCAGTTTTCATATGTATTTGAGTTGAAACGTGTTGACTCTTTTTCACATGCAAAACTGTTCCCTTGTAGGCTTTTTTTTTTTTAATATGACATATAAACCCTTTTCTGGCAGATTTTTTCTTCTCTTCCTGGGAATCAAGGTGAATCACGGGTTCCCTGAGCTTTGCTAAGCCTTTGACATAAGAGATATAAACTAGTGTCCCACATCCTATTATGCAAGGCTACATCTAGGGCACTGGGAAAGGTGGTAATTAGGTACGGATTCCTAAGTGTGGAACAATTCTAATTATCCTTCCTGTGTATTCTTATCTGTTCCTTTGTCTGGGATAGTTGAGTGCCTCCATAAGGATGAGGTTGCCTTAATGATGGGTGGTCCACTTTGCTTTCCTCCTGACTTTGCTTCCCAAACAAATGAAATATTCTTTCCAGTTAAGCAATTACATTGCTAGAAAGGCTTATGAGCAGTAAGATGCTTTTTATTAGTGTAATTCTCAATACTTTTACCTTTCAGATGAACAGGATGAGGAGACAGTGGCAACTGGAGGAAAGGTAATAGCAGCTGTTTCTTACTAAGTTTGGTAGAAACTGAGATCATAGAATCACAGAATGGTTTGGATTGGGAGGGACCTGTGAAGATCATCTAGATGATCCCCATGAGCAGGGACATCTTCAACTAGACCAGGTTGCTCAGAGGGACATCTTCAACTAGACCAGGTTGCTCAGAGCACCGTCCAACCTGACCTTGAATGTTTCCAGGGATGGGGTGTCTCCCCCTTCTCTGGGCAACCTGTGCCAGTGTTTCACCGAACCTCATCCTAAAAAATTTCTTCCTTATATCTAGTTTGAATCTACCCTCTTTTAGTTTAAAATCATTACCCCTTGTCCTATCAAGATCTTAATCTCATCTTCAGTTACTTAGTCTGTAATGTTTCTCAAGTGAGAGTTAAGATTAAATTAGTTATTGATAGGAATGTTGTTTTGCTATTATAAAAGTTCTACAAATGCTGTGAGATTATTTTGTATTTTTAATTCTAGTATTTTAAAAACGAGAATGAGGAGACAGGTGCAAAGTATTTTCAAAGAAGCGTTTTTCAGATACAAGATTTTTCGACAGTTATGCTTTTTCTTTAGGTTTCAGGACTAAATCTAAACCCTGGGTAGGCTTCCCGGTCATTTTAATAGAGTTGCCGAGGTAATTTCTGTATTGAATTGCATTGTTGGTACGCCAGGCACTATTTTTACAGCTTGCCTAGTGTAAGATGCCTGCCTGGTCATGCAGGTAAGAAAAGATCACATCTGTGTTAGGTTCATACAGTTGCAGAGCTGCACAGACACAGACGTTTGGATGTGTCCATGGTTGTACACATATCTAAGAAGATCTAACTTTATGTGCTGACATATTTCTAGTTTTACTGTATTTCAGTTCGTGTGTCCAATCTGTATATGTGTGTTCAGAAATGCTCAAAAATCCTTTCTCGTGTTCTAAAACGAGGATAGATAACAAGTCTACGTATGCAAACCACTGACAGGCAGTAAACAACCTTTCTTTTAGGTTTTAGGTGCGGGTATCGCACTAAGGAGCAGTGGGTTTACATATCTAGATACAGACATGTGAACAGAGATCACCAAAATACAATTCCTAGGCAAGCACTGTTTTCCAAGTTAGGGAAACCAGCTTGGAAGGAACGCAACAGCAGGCTTTTCCAGCATGGGAAATTATTTTGTTGTTGTTGTTGTTGTTCCTTGTGTTTTGGTTTTTTTTCCCTCCTGGGGTAACTTCTCCATCCCTGGGTGTTGAATGACCTGGAACTGTGGGACTCATGCAGCAACCTTAGTATTTGTTCCATGTTAGGTTGGAAGAGGTCTGCTTTTTATATCCTATGCTAAACAGTGTTGTTTTGGAGGGCCGTGGTCTGTTTCTCTGTTTAGTTGAATGCATGATGGGAGGAGAAGGGTGTTGGAAGTTGAGGGGATGAGGAGAGGAAGAACTTCTTTTCTGAATCGCTATAGTCTGGTCACTATGTATATTTAGAATGACACCTTGTTGTCTTTGGGGGAATTCAGTCCAAGAGGAAGATACATCATTGGTACCAATGACTCTTTAAGGTCTTGCTTTAGGGACTTTGTTATTTTTAACAGTCTGTTCTGTTTCTCTGAAATCTTATCTGGATTGGTAATTCAGGTAAAGAAAACCGTTTAATGTTGAGTTGCCTACAGGCTCTTCAAATAGCACCTGAAGGTTTCTAGTACAGTTCGTATCGTGTCCTGACCCTCTCTTTACACTGCCTCTGTGCCCTTCTCTTTATCCTTTTGGATGGGGAAGCGAATGTGTGCTGGAACCCAAGTTGCGGAAGACCTAGTGTTCCCAGGAGGCTTTTGTTAGGAAGCAACAGAAAGTGACCAAAGACTTGTCCTATGCTTGGGATCTTACAATATCTTGCTCACTGGCGTCTTCACAGCCCTGTATGAGCAAACTCAAGGGTCTGGTCACCTTCTGAGTGGAAGCAAATGCAGGGACATGCAGGTTTCCAAGTTGAACTTCTTATCTCTTCTTCACCAAGAGAGAAATATCCAAGACCAAGTTAAGATTGATCAAAGTGAGTTTATCCAAGCAAGAATGTAGTGTAATGAGACACAGTTTTGCAGGTGTGAAACTATTATTGCTGACAAGGCTCCCAGTGAAACCAGAAGTATTGAATACAATTTCCTTTAATACTCTTCTGAGGAGAGAGAAGGTTGGTGGGGGAAACGTGGCAAAAAATCCAACCCATCTTAGACAATATTATAAATTGGTGCAGAGTACATAACTGGAGATGGCAGCAGGAGCTAGACTGACAGCTTACAAAGTACTCTAGATTCATCCTGTATTCATTACACCTGGTTGCATTTCAATTCTGCAGTATACTGCAGTATTTTCTTCCATAGGTAGAGCATGTTTAATTTTGTAAACAGAACATGAAGCTTGTTCTAACTGTACTGGCAAGTACGTCCTTGAGATTTGAAAGCTGGCTCTGTAAAAACTTCTTTATGGCCTTATGCCGCCTTTAGTATTTTTATGAACACAGATCACATATTCTCTGGTCCCTGAGATTTTCCCCACTGACCAGAGATTGCGTCAGGAAAAGTTTATTCTGCACAAAATTGGAAAGCACTTGTTTTGGATTAAGTTTGTGCTGGCTGAGGGTTGTTAGGTATGTCTCTTCCAACCTACTAACCATTGTATTCCCTACATGATACAGGAAGATGAAGATCCTAACAAAGGCGATCAAAGTCGGTCAGTTGATCCAGGTGAAGATAATGTCACAGAACAAACCAACCACATTATTATTCCAAGCTATGCATCTTGGTTTGACTACAACTGGTAAGAAAGTAATTGGGAACTCGGGGAGGACTTAGAGTTTCGGTGGTGTTCTTCTAATCAAACTGGGAGCTGAAAGAAATTGCTTTTGTTTTGGTCTAGTCCCCATGTATGGGTACATCTTTTCCATTTAAAAATCTTTCTGAGTTGACTTCTGGCAGTTTTCAGGGATTGGGAATGAGGAAGAGAATTTCAAACAGCATAGGTCTTCAGTTTACCTTCTCAGCATTTTTTGCTTTACGTTGATTTCCACCCACCATGGGAAAAGAATTCCTTTTTCTTCCCTACTTCTCCAGTCCTTGTATGATCTTTCT